AGAGCATTTTGCAGGGAGACATTTAGCTGGCGTAAATCGGCATAGCTCCAGTGACAGCAGTGGAGCGATGCTGAGTCACGTCAGCTGAGGGTCTCCCCTTGTATGAGATCATTTATTTCGGTGTACACCTGAAGTGGCAGCTCTATAAAGCTCTAGGTATTTAAAACATGATCCGTAGCTATCACTGGCAAATAACTTGTAGCAGAGGGAATTTCAGGGGGAGGGGAGAAGAGAAGATGATTTCAGCTGAGATTTGGGAAGAACTGGGAGGTACAGACCTGAGCTATTTGAAAGCGATTCCTCCTGTCTTTGACATGCCAAGGCTTGAGCTCAATATTCCACGTTTCCTCTGCCGTAGCTGACAAGCCAGTGTCCAAAGCAGAGCGTTTTCCTGTGCTGCTCAAATCATTTGCAATGCCTGCAATCAAAGCACCTTGCTCTGCTGGGAGCAGGTCAGGTCTTGCATGCTAATCAGAGTCAGGCCTGGCCAGTATTTGGATGGGAGTGGTGTTGGAGGGTCAATAGGAGCTGTTCTTCCCTTTAGAGGCCATACAGAGCCCACGGTGCCATTAGGGGAAGCTTGTAGTCAAAGAGGTGTCCTTCAGATGAGCCTTGAAGTCCAGGCCCTACAAACTGCAATCTTGTGGCTTGTTTGTCAATCAGGGCATTAGCCTTGGAGTCCTGGCCAAATTCCAGCTCAAGTTTCCCTTCCCTAAAATCCTTAGCGGTTGCAATCAGAGACAGGATCCTCCTTTGTTTCTTGCCCTGAGCTGCTATGCAGTGTTGCTGTGCTGTGTCAACGAGCTGCCGTGTTCCACCCCAGAGAGGGCTGCAGGTGTGCAGTTTGTAGGGTGCTTTAGGACCATCCTGGGGGACGGCGCTCTAGAAATGGAAGCTCCAGAGCCCTGAACTCAGGTGTTTGTAGGGCAGGGAAGGAGGAGCTCAGTTAAGCTCCACATCTGCTCTGTTAATGGTTTGGGGCTTAAACAAGCCACTGCGAGTCCCGCGTTTCAGTTCTCATGGAGGAGATGGGGAGGGAGGGGATTAGTGCTGTGGGGCTGAGCATACGGCCTAGAGCCCTGATCCTGATAAGGGGCAGTATGTAGAGGGCAGGGGACCCAGGTGTTGGAGGGTGAGAGCCAGTGAGATTACCCAGTCAATGCGATTCCAGCAGCCTGGGGGCTAACAAGGACCCCCGTTCTCCACTCACTCCTCTTTCCTCCTTCTCCTTCTCTCTATCCCATACTCCATGGGCACAGGCAAGGAGGGTCCTAGGTCCTCGCGTCTGGCCCCTGCTTTTGCTGGCAATCCATCCTACAGCCCCATTCAGAAACTTACCAAGCTCCGTCTTCAAATTAGTCAGGCTGTTTGTCCCCACAGCTCCTCATGGGAGGCTTGGCCGATGGTTAGAAACTGTGACACTTTTCCCTTCTCTTCCCTCATCTCTCTTTCCTCCCTTGCTTTCCCTTAAGGCTGGGATCTAAGCTATCCCGTCAAACTGTGTCGGCGCTGGGGGCTGCGCTGGTTAACTGTATTCGTACCAAAGCTGTGCGTGGCCCAGCCATGAACATACGCTGCATTCCTAACATAACCCCGGGTCAGTCTATCCCCCTCTTGGTGTAGGGAGACCCCTGTGACGCGGTCTGAACCCAGTGTAGGGTCCTGCTCTGCTCTCCAATAGCTTCTCCTCCCGCTCAGCCCCGCAGGAAGCAAGTATGGAGGAGCAGAGGTGCCCTGCCAGGCCAATGCCTGATGTAGCAACCTGCTGCCCGCACTGTCCCAAGGACGGAACCCGTGCCACCTACGACCAAGATGTCCTCCAGTGGTCTAAACCCCTCTCCAGCATCATCTTTGCTCAGTAGCGTCCCGAGCTGCTGCTCCTCCTCCCAGAAGAACCAGGGCCGTTTGCTTGGTGTTTATTGGGTCTCTCTTGCTGGGTGGACTGGACCTGAGTTTCTCATTGCGCTGTCTCTGGCGGGGGCAGG